TCAAATGTGACGTCCGTCACGGGGCTGTCCAAAAACTGAAGCATGTCAGGCCAATGATGGCACGGCACTGTCATACTCAGTTTGATAGCACACCCGCAACTGTTCCATTCCTTTCCTCAACCGTCCTCTCTTGCCTACTCGTTTCATTGACCCCAACGACCACCATGACATTCATTCCAACTTATTGCACTACTCGTTTAAATTCAACCACCTCTGTGTCCCAATCAAACCTATCCCCTACACCTGACTTCCCAGCAACAGAGTAACCAGTGAGTCTGCTTGTTCTCAGATTGCACCGTATTTTTGAGACTAAACTTGCCGTGTTCTCTCAATTCGAATTATCCTATCTCCACCTCCACTTTTGCTTGTTATGATTCCGGCCATTTACCCAACCGCCCAAGGTCACTCATGGCCAGCAATTGTTTTGCAGTTTTAGTTCATGTCAGCCAACTGAGTCACTGAATTACTCGGACCTCATGCCTATTGTTCCCTACAAGTTGCAAGAGAAACATATTACTATTATTATTATTTAATCGAGTACCTCCCACTGTTTGTGACATTGTCCCCTTTTCGCGCAGTCAACACTACCCGCAAATCCCCCAGTAATGCCCCATTCTGACTGTAGACGCATGATCATGCCAGACGGCATGCCACCCACAAGTTGGGAATAAACAGTATTATTATTATTATTAACATATAGGAAGAACGCTAGTGTTATATCTTGCTGATGTATTGGGCTTGGGGTGATGCAAAATCAACTGGGACAAAGTTAGTAACGCCATGCATGTCAATGTTAGCCATGAGCCTAGCAGAGTAACCTCAGTTCATCCCGTGCATTGTTTTTAAATTAAACGAAAGGACAGCTGTCATTCGCTTGTACTACTTGGTCTTGCCAGATAATTGCCAACCGAATCAGGTCCAAACCAGCTACAGAAAATGGCGGTACACTTCGTGCGACTGTGGGAACGCCCGGAGCAGGAGACAATGTGCAATGGAAAAGAGATAAGGGCATCAGGTGTGCGATGAGAGAACCACGTCTCAGTGATGCATATGAGGGTGGAAAAGCTATATTAGAGATAGCTTGGATGTAGTGCAGTGTAGTATTGTAGAGCGGGTGTTCATTAGAAGGATAGAAATATTAACAGCGGGATTGGAGTAGGCAGGTAGGGGGCTAGTAAAAGTTGGTAGGCCCAGGGTAGTCAATATGGAGACAGGAGAGCTTTCGAATTCGCGGACGAGGTGGGACCCATTAGTGACGTGGGAATATGGTACCAAGACGTACCATAAGGTGTACGGAGACAACTTTGGGGTAGCAGCACGGATAGCAGCAGTCGGTAGACAGCTAGTTACAGGCGGTGTCGAGCGATAGTTTATAATGACTGTATCAATGATATCACGGGATAGTACCGCACGTAGCAGTCGAACAGAAATAGCGGAATTCAGGTACTACAAATTCGAAGAGCTGGCGCACCATTTTAGCAAGAAATGATAATGATGTATGTCGAGGGCACTGAGAGGACAGTAAAACCTGTCCTGTAATACCTTTAGCACCGATTGGTGTGGGGAGCGGAGAGTACGGATAATCAAACTGGACTGATTGGAGGAGGTGATATAAGAGCCTTCTGGTAAGAGGGACAAAATAACAGGAGGGGAGCGGGTGAACAGAAATCCTTTGCGTTAGTTGTAGCTAAGAGGGCTTTAGAAAATGGGGACGATATACAGTTAAAGGGCGTAGAAGCGAAACTGCGTATGGCTTCTGCAGAGGTTGAGGTCGTTTTGGGGGAATTAACTGCCATAAAGTAACCTAATTTAAACAGTGCGTAAGGCCAGAGTGGACAGCATTTGATAGGGACTAAGATTAGGTGATGGCGGTTGCTGGTTAGGGATCCTCTCAAAGGCTTATTTTGCACGATTTGAGCGACCACAGATGTGCTCATGTAGAATTCGGGGTATGGTCGGATGTGTAACTGAAGGGCGAAGAGCAGGAACTCGGGAAGTAAGTGTGTGAGAGGATGTTAGGATACAATGCTTTGAGCGCTAGAAAGCTCTTTGGTGAGGAGACACGGTGTGCAATTAGGTCCGGGAGTCCGAAGAAAGGATCTGCGTTGTCATCTTTAACTGCAGTCCTATGTAGAGACCAATGACACACCAGTTCTGTTACAACAGCAGTCAATCATGTCGTGATGGAGGTCGAGTATGACACGGGTGGCTGCTCAAAAGCAGAAGTAGAGAGCATTTGAACAGTGGATGCGGGGCCTAGAGCCGACAGGCAGGTTTATGTGGCACGATATTGTGAGTTAGCGCAACAATATAAGGAGTTTGAAGAATCACTGACAGAGTATTGGGAATTAAAGGACATTACGTCAACTCCAGCATTATAATGGCTGGTTGGAGACCCAACTGACCTGGAACCGACAACGATGTTGTCATGGCTGGTTGGCGGGTCCAACCGAAGTTGATGCGGGTACTTGAGGTCGTCTGATGGCGGACCCAGCACGCTGTTGTTAGTAGCGGAGGTTCCTTGTCTGCACATGCATCAACGGCGATGCAGCATGCGAAGTGGCCACGAGTTGGTCAAACGTGAATTATTCGTTTGGGTGACGCCATTATTATTGATTGCAACAGATGGGCAAAGATAAGAGCGATGTGTTTAGAAGCATTAAGTGGTCGATGTTAAAGATTTGGATGTTGGATGTTTAGTAATCTGCCTTTACAATTGATTACGGGAAGCCTTGATGTTTACGGTCTGAAGTTTCCCGTTAGTTGAAAGTAGAGCCCGGGATGCCATCAGAAGTACGGCATAATTTTCATCCTCGAATCGTAATGATATCCCACACCGCAGGGTTGGTTTTGACTTTCGGTGGTGTCGAACAGCTCAGGCGGTGTCAGGCACTACATCTGCCATCAAGAGAGCAGTTTTCGCGAGTTTAAGCGGGATGTGATCATCCTCGTCCCATTCCCACTTGCTATTGGGCAGTGGCAGATTTGGTCCCTATCCAGTATGGTTACTGTCCTTCTGGACATACAAAAGGGGTAGAAAGGTTCAAGATTTTGCGTCTGTTTGCCTCACTCCGTATTTCTTCCACCAGGCAACCTCAAAGCCGACTAGCCGCAGATCTCGTCCCATCCCACTTGCTATTGGGCAGTGGCAGATTTGGTCCCTATCCAGTATGGTTACTGTCCTTCTGGACATACAAAAGGGGTAGAAAGGTTCAAGATTTTGCGTCTGTTTGCCTCACTCCGTATTTCTTCCACCAGGCAACCTCAAAGCCGACTAGCCGCAGATATGCGCAACGTATATGCAACTAGGTCAAGATTCGGTCAACTATCTTCGTGTTCTGCTTGTTGTTTAGTTTACATATTCAAAATATTCAACGATTCCTACCCATTGGTGCAAATTAGTAACACTGTGCTTACCAGGGAACTCTTGCTTCTGATTAATCTCCAACAGGGTATCCAAAGATTACATCCAGTTTCCTTATATATTATAGCCCTGAGATTTGAAATGCCCGTTCTCTCTAATGCCGGTACCTCCACTCCAGCACATCAACTCATAAATCCCACGGAGGTGGCTAGTTCCTCAAGTATTCAAACCACTTGGCCTCACCATAAATCCCCAGTTTTATTTCAAGTAGGTCAAATTTGGTCGCTGAAGTGCCCGTTCCCATCTGGCCATACTGTTGCCTGGCTTCGTTTACCATAGTTGTCGTTTCTTGTCCACTAATGAACGTTTGCCCTTTGTCTTTTTTCTCCATTCTGCTTTTGCTCGCCAGGTTCAAATTATAACTGCTTGGCCTCAATTTAATTGGCGCGTTCTTCAAACCTGGAAATCATAATATTCAAAAAACTAGATCGGATTACTCCAACCTACTTTCGCATACATGTTTGGCGATGGGTTTGAACTGGCAAGGTCAACTGCGTATTATGTTTTAGTCGGCACTCGGCCTTGCCGGAATAACGCCCAGCATTCCTCACTTCGGTCCAGGTTACTTAACAGGAGGTCTTCATCAACGTGCCATTTTTCTCTACTGTTGCCCTGGAGGGCATTACACTTTGAACTTTAGTTCAACCGTCCTGTTGAACAACCAACTATAACGCACTTTTCTGGACAGAGTAGATATTAGTAGGTCTGTTACGCAAGCTATGAATGAGGTAACAATTAAGACAGTAGAGTCAAGAAACCAAAACGAGGTTCAGACAATCGTTATATGAAAACGGCTAACAGAAGCGTCACTTGACCACTAATGCACCAGGCCGCTTAAGTTAATAAACAGCAGGCCGTCTTCTGTACCGAGTCCGTCCATCAGTGTACGCGTGTAGACTGCAAATTATGCTTGGGACGCGCATCGATTCCCTTTTTTTAACTTCGCCCACCGGTAAATGAATAACTTGGTTTCGGTCTATTATTTCAGCGTTTCAGCTTTGAGACTCTCCAGTGTTATTCGAAAGACGATCGTGAAACACAGGTTCCGCAAGGGGTATCAATAACAATATCTAAGGCAGGTGTCACCAAAAGACACTCGGAACTACATTCACAGTCATCTATGGCACAGAAGTATGACTGAACGGGATGAATTTAACCGAGAGATTCAATTTTGGTCGTTCAACGGATGCTGACATTTTTGGGTGTGCTAAAAGCTTATTAATCTGATATCTGAGACAAAAGTTCCCATTTTCCAGTGACCACCTGTTGGAGAATTGATGGAGATATTCCCGAATGGGTGAGCAAAAAGAGTTGTTGAACAGCCCACACGCCGCGAGTGCTACCATGAAGTTTCCTGGAATATATGCTGCGAATTATTTTAGGTGGTTGTTTCATATGTCAGTATCCAGCTTTTTTTGTGTTTAATGTGCCCTTAAATTGTTCTCCATTTGGCTTGTAAGCAAACTTAGTTTGACCTGCGGGTAAGTAACCTCTCAGAATTCCGGATTGTGTATATCGCGTGTCCAATGAAGAGATGACGAGGTCTTTATAGTTTGGATATACTGGGCAACGGTATAACGGAGGAGAAGGCTAGGTCAGAGGGGCAAGCTAATCACGCAATAAGGAATTGGCAATTTTGGAAAATAGGGCACGAGAAGAGTGACGCCAGATAGAAATGAGTATCTTGGTGGCCATATAGAAAAGTGAGGAAAAAAGGTAGAATAATCCATCATTATATTGTACCTTGATGCTAATTTTGAGTCTTTCAGAGGCAGCATCCATGACTTTTGTCCGAGTCAATCCTGTCTGAAACTTCCCCATGTTGACTGCGCACTTCCACAACTAGGCACCAGATGAGGGTTACAGCTAGACGCTTACATTTTGCAATCGAGACAGATCAGTTTAAAGAGTGCGAGCTTAATCACTGGAAGATCCGTGACTTCAGCGCGATTTGAGCCTATAAACTGCCGTTGTGTGAGAAAGTAAAGTCTTACTTACCGAAGTCTTACTCAACTACACTTTTCCCATCCGTTTTAATGTTGAAAAGTTCTGGAAATCACAAAGTGAACAAGTATTGTATTTATGAGAGGTCAAATACGGACTGGTAACTAGACAGTATTGTCCTTTATCCTTTGCAAGAAGAACTTCAGACCTGAAACAAATAAGCTTCGATTGTTTTCCAAAACTTGTCTCACTTTGTCCTCCCGTACCGGATGTCTCTAGTGCTTTCACCCTGGCCACATTTACAGCTATCTGCTGAATGATAAATCTAGTGTTGGAAACAGAAAGAGTAAATTTTTCCTCGGCAAAACTGAAGGCCTACTTGTCTGCTAAACCCATGTGAGCTTGTCGAAATTTACGTACGGTTTGGGTGCATGTCAGGTAAGCTTCATTCAATTCTGCATTCTTGTGCAAATCCACTGAAATTTTGAGATAAAAATTATATGGTGCGTATTTAATTGGCTTCAAAAAGATGGCGTTTACAGCTGTGGAAAAATCTGTTAGTTTTTGGGGGAAAAATTTGATTTCAACTCTAGTTACTTTTTTATGTACGTTCAGAATGAAACTGTCAAAAATGACGGATTTTTGTTGGAATATGTTTGGAAGCTTTAAGGGAGCGTTTTGCTGCGTTTCTCTGTAGAGCAATTAGTGCATGATGGCAGCTAATTATTTTGTCAGAGAATCTCAAAATTTTGTGAACAGTCAATTTCAGCAACGGCACACGAAATCGTATAAATACAACTCGAAATCTGTTCTTTCAAGACTCAGTTACTCAATTTTCGGTGTGTAATTATTCTGTCATCGTTGTTACGTACTGTTTCAACCTTGTATAGGAAGCTTGAAGCCCGAATATCCATCTGCTCAAAGCGGAATGATCGATTCTTTGTTCTAAGGAATATCCTAACATCATCATCTACATCACAAACGAGAGATTCAACTGGGTTCCAGGCGAGTCTCTCGAAGAACCAAATTAGTTTGCAAATGAATGTATATTTCCTAATTTCGTGCAATTTGATTTCAAGTAGAACATAAGGTTGACGGAAACTCGGGGATTGCGCCTACCTGAGAGCCCCAAAAAGGGCAAAACCGGTCGTGGGCTGTCGACGGATTTTCAGCAACCTTATGAGTAGTACATTACAAAAATATCCTAACTCACTGGTGCGTTAGTCGCGCTGAGTGTTTATCCCTGTTCACTTCGAACTGTAGAATATTACTCAATGTTGCTATTATCGCTGGTGTCAAAATGTGTCGTGTTCTGAGTACATCTTACAAACCTTTTCTACTTCGTGAAACCTTCTTAGAGAATGCCCGAATTCCACATAAATGTACACTTTTAATGAGAATTCTTGGGACTTTGAGGTGCAAATATCCTAAAACGGTAAGACGTTACTTCCAAAAGTTAGGCCTATTACTTTTTCATTCATGCATTCATTCATTCATTCATTCATTCATTCAGCTGTAGCACCCTTTCGGTGCCTAGCTGCCATGCCACCAGAAGGAAGCACGAAGGCTGGGAGGATAGGCTTTTGGAGAATCTCGTTCACTTTGACGTAAAGCGTGTGCTAGGGAACTGGCTGCTGGGATCCCCTGTCGACATAACTGTAGCTTGTATTTACATCTAACGCTTGCTAATATCTTTCTATTTTGAAACTCTACTTGCCTGTCAGCTTGCAGTTTTTTTGGCGTCAACTGTGGTTTTGAGAAACATGGGAAAGCATATTCGAAAAAAAAGTAGCCATCCCACGAATCCACTCTACTCATTTTGTGATTATGTAGAAATTGACGCACTCAAGATGAACAGATCAACACAAGAGCGAGAGAGAGGACTGATAAACGAACTATCCCAAAACTCTAACAAACCAACAGATCAAGGGAGGAATGCAGATGCACATGAATACCACATTGCTACAAAACTGGAGAGGGCCCTGTCTTCTGCATATTTCAAAACGTTTCGTGATCAGCTTGGCGCGTCCATTGCGGTGATGTTGAAATGCTCGATCCCTTATCTGTCAAGTAAAGTGTCCCAACCGGTGATGCCCCAAAAATGAAATGTGACGCCAATCATCTCGAATGTTGATCGTTGAATTCTGTATGACGGCTCACTACCTTCTTGAGGTTGTTAGTGCTCTAGTTGTGATGTAATTAAGTTGATTATCAGAAGGTAACAAGCACTAACAACTGCCTGTCTTACTAGAATGAGATGATAAAAAAATAGATACAACTCGAAAAGTGGAATAAGCCAAAAAAAAGTGACTTGTCGTTTGAGGACATTTGCTGAAAGTTCCTGAGTGAAGTTCCGGGCGCGGGACTTGTGTTCTCTACAGTATAGCTGCTACGCGTGTTCCGTAGTTGGCCATGGAGACTTGTGGACCTCTGTTGACCTCCTGTCGTGTGCGCGCGAGTGTGTGTTTAGCCTATTTGTACGCCTATTTATTGTGTGCATTGTGAAGATAGGGGTGTCCCTTCGTGTTTGATACTTGCACGAACATGAATACAACTTGACCTGATGTGTTGAATGAAGTTCATAATCCTGGCGCGTGAAGCAAGTGGTAGACCCGTAAACGAAAATGGTTGCGAAGTTTTACTGTACATGTCACGTGGTTTGAGTGTTTATGACGCATGATCTGATGAGTGACCTCTACAAATACTCTCCCCTTAGCGAAGGAGAGAAGTGGGTGCTGATGAAATGGTATGTGATTCTCGTGGTTGTGGGGTAAACAAGATGATAGAGAGTCTATGTGGATGTACTAATAAAATTAGCAGACAGGAGGGTAGCCGCTACAAGGTTCATCAGGTAGACGTACCTACCGAGTTCCCATCACCCTTATGTTTAGTCCAGGCATTAAGTGCCACCCAAATGTTTTACTTGCCTGACTGCAGTATATTTACATGCTAACATAAAATTAGTTTGCGAACGAGTGTGGTGGTACGTTTACCGGAATGATTGTTCGGTTAGGGCAGTATCGAGTTGTGAACTCACCGATTTGACGGATACAACTTTGTTTCGCAACATCTTCTAAAAATTGCCGATGTTCAGGGATCATATAGGTTCTCATTTGCTCGAAAAATTGTTCATCGTCTGCATGGATGAAGGTGAGGAAAGTTGGATACTGTTACTTTTGACGTGACTCTATGTACGGTACAAAAAAGTGTGCTTTATTAGTGATCACGAGGAGTCGTCGCTTCCTACGTCTTACTCCTCATTCCAACTTTCCCTTCGGCAAGTAAATCTGCTTTAGAAAGGGCGTCCATTCTTTGTCTTTTAAAGTTTCATTTTTTGCGTTGTACGCTAAATCAGCTGACAAAGACAGATGTTGACCGTTGGTGAAAAATCCACTTTGGATGCTGTCGGTTATCGCAAAAGTCACGGAACACAGTGAAGCTGGGTGAACCGCGTTTCTATCTTGAAAAAAAGGGGTTGTCAGTAGCTCCTTGAACTGGTCAGATATTTTGGGAGCTTGTCATTGATATTGCCCAAGTAATTAGAAAGTAGAGGTGAGTGAAAAACTTACAGTATCTTTGTTACTTAATCAATTAGTAAGTAGTAACAAAAAATTGTAGAATTATAGCAGAACGGTTACAAAAAGGTTGATCCAAATACGATTAATATGACCACATCTGAAATCATGCTTGCGAGTCAATTTTCCGTAGACGAAACCAACTTTTAAGTTTTTTCTGCATTTTTGAGGATACTAATGTTTTAAAAAAATTGTGGTCACAAACCGACAATGTGGTAAGGAGTTGGGGTATCTCAGGAGCGTTGTTTTATCGCTTTCTAGTTCGCTGAGATTAGAACCATCACAGAGAGCGAAGTCAGCGTTTGCTTTGGTGCCTCACTGCCGTACAACTACAAAGGTTTTCGTGTTTATTGAGGCCTCAGCTGAAAACAGGAGAAACAATTGAGTGAAGAGTGACGTGGTACTCGTCTTCCAAAAGAATTCTGTGATGGTTACATCTACAGGTGCTCAATCAAACAAATGGATGGATGACACAAAAGTCAACGATGATGACCAGTCACCGTTTATCACAGTGTCTCCAGTCACGCGTACGAAGGGTCAGGTGGAACCCATCCGAAAAGCGCACCACATCAATAACACCTAAGCTCTTTCACACCAATACGCAAAGTCTTATGTTGTCTAACTTTCTACGTGCACCAATCTGAAAGAGATACGGAGCGTAAATCTCGTCTCTGTAGATGAAGATTCGCCATCTCCGAGTCACCGAATTTGATCGTGCCGGATGTCTTCCACGGCTGAAGTACCTGCTCCAAAACCAAAATCCCGTTTAATAACTGCCGCAATGCGAATCCGTCGACGCCATCCGACGCCAGCGACGCCTCTGAGGCACTGGTTGTCGAAAACCTGAACACCTGTCAAATCACCTCTCTGCACAGACCAACAGTACATTCCTTGATGTAGTCTGTCACGTGCGACCCTCGAGACACAGTGATATGTGCTTTTGATGCCGCAAGTGATTCGAATTGACCAATGCGCTTCTGGCATTTATGATTCATGCGCTTACCTTATCGGTACACTTCTATCAAAGTTAGTACCAGTGCTGAGGCATGTAAAATTTTCCACAAATTTCAGCATTTCTCCTCGGATTGTTTGTGTGCGTATGAGGCATCCTCAGAGACTGCAAGTTGTCAAGCTTGACTTTGCACTCTGAAGGTGGGAGGCGCATACCGAAAGATGATGTGATTGTGGTCAGTTTACCCAACAGTGCATGTACTTAGTCTGTTTCTTCAAATAGGAGAAGAACGTCGTCTGTGTGCTCCAGCCCGACAACATTCTCACATGCAGTGGTTCGAAAAACGCGGGTTTGAGTACTTTCAGGAGGTTTCCTCGTTACTTTATTGATGCCGAAGTTGAACAAAAACGGACACAGTGGATATCTTTGCCAGACAACACATTTTCTAAGGAACATTTTGAACAGCTCAAAATTTACACTCACATATCCCGGAGTGTGGGGCATTCCTTGTTGAGCAGGTACGGCTATGTACACTCAACGATCGGCTGAGCGAAACGCCCCCCTAAGGAACACCAAGATTGTAGTTCGTAAGTGCATATGGCTTTACTCTCACACCTAAGTCAGTGGGAGGATGCGTTCGACGCAGCCACTACTCGATCAAAATCCCGCTTGATGCTCGAGAGTCAAAGCATCACATGCTGCCGTAAAACGGCGAAAGTCAATGGTACCACCATCCTTGTCACGATGGGAGTCAATTTGGCATCCATGTGGTCACCACATTTACCTCGAGTAGCCGTGTGGAATGTGGACACTATTGTTGATCTATACCGGTTTTCTGCGGAGGTCATTTCTCCTGGATGGACCCAAATTAGTTCTGTAGACACTGGCTGAGAAATCTAAAGACATCCTTTAACAGAAGAGGGAACTCATCGTGTGGTGATCGGTCCTTAGGTGAGTTAATCCTCCATTGATCAAAATATGTGGCTCACTCATGTGGCCGTTCATATCGTTAACAATTAAGTGGGTGCATAAATTCGGTAACGTTAAAACTACCAACAAGTAGGTTTCCGTTGATACCCATTTTGAAACACAACTGTCAGCAAAATCAAAACCAAGCGCTCCCATTTATCAATAGCTTTTTGGTGATCCTTCAGATGAAACGAACTCATTATTCCCAAGCACTCAGATGTGAATTGTGTGTCCAACAGCCTACAAATCAAAATCGACAGTAGTTTATGATCCTTGGGGTAGTCAGCGAACAAATATGAATCTGTAGGGGCGAAAAGACTTGAATTTATAATTGCTCAACTTTTAAAACGACAAGCTATCATTCAAAAACGCGGAATACTTAAATCACCCTTGTGTCACGTGCGTTCTCGATCATAAAAAATCGGGCACTACAAATCAGAAATCCAATCGAAATTCAGTCGAGTTTCCAGTTGTAACACCAATAGAATTTCAAAACAAGTGCTCGTCTCCAAATAAGTTCGGTTTGGTTTGCAGTTTGATGTAATTACAGGCACTAGACTCCCAAAATATGCACACACGTTTGGGAACTCCACCAGTGGTCTGAAGCGATTATCAGGATATTGTTAAAACGGCCAATGCATTTAGTGTCGAGTTGTCGTGAAGCGTTTATGCTGGTTACTACGAATAACCAAGTCACTTCACCGGTGAGTTAGGGTGATAGGGTAACGTCAGTTTGAATCCGATTTGACCTTGATTGTCTTGTCCATTTGACAAAACCTCCAGGGCGTAGCCCACAAACTTAGCTGGTCTGTAGGAGAATGGAGATCAAATAGGCTGAAGGGTTAACAAACTGATCTGGATTCCGGTCATTTTGACCCTCATCCGTTAGGTCCAAACTGGGAGTCCGGGCACAAACTAACCAACGAGGAATTTCACTTGATATGATGGAATAATTTAGTCTCCTCGTCCAAACAGCTCCCGCCAGTTGTCCCCCGTATTCCTTCAAACAAAACCAACGTGACAATTTACTTTTCTTGTATGAAGGAGCACTGGCTTCAAAAAAAGTAACTGCATCGTATTTTTGCCGAAATATTCCGAAATGTAAAAATGGTACTGACCCCAAAAGCATTTGTAATGCAGGACAGTCTCGGTAAGAGGACAACTCACCTAGGTTGTGTTTGATTTGTAAAAAAGCGTCAATAGCTTGCAGACAAATGGACTGAGCCGCACTTGGTCCACCACAAGCGAATTTTCTCCTTTTCTCGTGGACACCTAAATGTGCAACAAGTTTTGAGTATTTCCCACATGCTACCTGAATCGTTGGGCGGATGATCACAACCCAGTCCGGTGACACCTTCGTAATATAATCCTGAGCTCCATCTGCACCAAAAAGCGATGGTAAAAACGGTACCGATATGTGAAAAATGTGCAGACAGGAGAGAAAAGTCACGTGACAAGACGTCGCTAATTTTTATAGTGTGGCTCACCACGAGCCTCTGGCCTCGCGTCAGTACCATGACTGACCACCTTATACCACAGAAATGATGACAGAGCATGTTAGGCTTAGTTCATATTAGTGGAAATCAACATAGCTAACACCTGTCAAGCCTCGGAAGTTAAACCATATGACCTTAGTAAGGACATTTTAAATTCGACAGTGCCTAATCATATTCCGTTATTTCGGTTGTACCCGTGTCTCGCGGAAGCGAGTCGAATTCATCCTGTCTATCTCGATTACACTCTATCCACTTCAGAGCTTACAAGATACACCTAGATCGACCGATTCTCCAAATGTTTGGAGCACCAAGGACAGATTTCTGAAGCAGTAGAGGTTGAAGCGAGTGAGGATTACCACATTCTACCCAGAATGCTTCCCCTGAGCAGTTGGCCGGATGTTTTGACGTAGGACCCATAAGCATGGCACAGAAATACAGCTTGGGTTATGGTCGCTCTATACCGACGTTTGAAATTGGGCTTTTCAAGACGCGCAAATGATGAAGCGAAGTGGGAAACACCACGCGCACAAATTCTGTCCGTAGTTGGAAGGCTACTTAAACAAGATTGTCACAAATTGCATTCAGGGGACCACTCATATGTATTCTTGCAAAAATCAACGCTAGATGGAATTTATTGATTTTGAAGACCTTGTAATTGGACACAAACCTGAGGAAAGTTCGTCCCTGTAAGAATGATCTTGCATTCAACAAACTTGTGAGTAGTTTCCTTTATGAAAATCTTACATTCTTATTTAAGCTATGGTGGAATCGGAGGTAGGTGAACAGGCCAACATCAGAAGGACAAACAGGCGCCGTTGTTTGAAAACGAAACAAGTCAAGCCGAAAGATCGGAGTCGAAAAATGTTTGACTGGGAATTCTGCTATCAAAGCATTTCGTAACACGGTCGCTCAACCGGAGCTGTCGAACAAAGTCGCCTGCATATCAGCCCAGTTTTCTGGTAAATAGTGCTATCGGGAGACAAACAGCGCTCACACAGGCATGGCGGAACCAAAATAACGCAAACGGCATACGCCGAGTGTCTCAATATCGATCGTTACTTGAGCGAAATTTCCGCTAATCTTTGAACGGTCCGGTCATCTGTCCATCATCATCATCATCATCATCATCATCCTCATCATCG